GCCTGTGTGCGGGAAGTTAATATGCGATAAAGGTGACAGCCCGCAAGCCCTGGAGAGATGTGTCTCAGGTTGTGACAGAAACTAATTCACCATAGGAAGAAGAAAGGTGGGTCTCTCTACTTGAAACGCCAAAAGGTTTAAAGGCTCAAATGTGAACATTAAAACCTTTTAGTTGGTATAAGAAAATATAGAGTGGACACTAAGATGGCTCAGTGGGTAAAGTTACCACCAATCTGACTCCATACAGGAGAAGGAAAGAACAGATTGCCAAAGGTTGTTCTTGGACCTCCACAAGCCATGGCATGCACATGAGAGTATGCATGCAGGCATTCCTGCATGAACACACACACACACACACACACACACAATTTATGATAATGAGGCTTAACATGGTGGTACAAGCCTTTATTCCCAGCACTCAGGTAGAAGCAAGTAGATTTCTGTGAGTTCAAGGGCAATTTTACTACCTCAGAAGTGAGGCCAGACTGGGTTTCATGAGACCCTACCTCGGAATAAAAACAGAAACAAACAAATAGGAATAAATCCAATTCTGTGGTTATAAGTGGGAGAGAATAAAAGTATAACTTAGGGCTGGGTGTAGTAGTTCATGCCTGTAATCACGGCACTCTAGAGGCTAAAGAGGAGTGTCGCAAGTTCAAGGCTGACCTGAACTGAGAAAGAAGACCATGTCTAGAACAGAACAAACAGCAGAGTCTAGAAATAGAAGGGAGGCTGCATTAAGGAGCTGTGTCTGAATCATCAGGCTAACACATTGTGACAGCGTGTTCTACTTTGCTTTCTGTTGCTGTGGTAAAACACCACAACCAGAAACAATTTGGGGAGTGAAAGGCTTATTTCATCTTAGAACCCCTGGTCAGGGCAGGAACTTGGAGGTACAAATGGAAGCAAAGAACATGGAGGAATGTTTCTATGCTTCCTCCCCCTTCTCCTTACCTCCCTCCCTCCCTCCTTTCCTCCCTCCCTCCCTCCCTCTCTCCCCTCTCCCTCCTTCTCTCACCCTGGTTTACCCAGACAGAATTTCTCTGTGTAACCCTGGCTGTCCTGGAACTCACTCTGTAGACCAGGCTGGTCTCAAACTCACAGAGATCCACCCGCCTCTGTCTCCCAAGTGCTGGGACTAAAGGCTGAGGAATGGTTCCTATGTGTTCCAGACTGGCCTCAAATTCGCAATCCTCCTGCTTCAGCCTCCATAGAGATGGAATTAGATCTGTATCACCAGTATGGTTAGCATTCTCTCTTTTACATTTCATTTTTAGCACATGCATGTATGTGGAGGTCAGAGGACAATTTACAGGAATCAGTTCTCCCTTTACACATGGGAGTCCCGTTTATCAAACTCAGGTCCTCAGGCTTGGCAGCAGGCTCCTAGTTACCAACTTAGTCATCTTCCCCTCTCACTCACCCTCACTCGTCTCCCCCTGCCTTTCTTCCTTCCTTTCCTTTGGTCAGGATCTTGCAGTATACATACATACCTATCTATATATGATATACTATATACGGATGTGTGAATGTTATATATTAATATATTACAATGTTATTAAATATGTGTTATCATTATTAATATCATTATTGTTATTTCTGACAGTCTCTCTATGTAGCCCTGGTTGTCCTGGAACTCAATTCTGTAGACCAGGCTGGCCTCAAACTCACAGAAATTTGCCTGCTTTTGGCTCTGAAATGCTGGGATTAAAGGCACACACCACCACCCTCAACTAGGTCTTGCTTTATTGTCCAAACTAGATCTTAAATTCCTGGGCTCAAGTGGTCCTTATACTTCAGCTTCTCTGCTAGCTGGGACAAATGAGGACCAACTGTTCCTGGCTTGACAGTTTGTGCAAGTTTTTGTATCTGAGTAGTATTGGTTATGAAACTCAGGGTCTTGTGCAAACTATACCCTACCCCTCCTATACCATTTTGAATGACAAACTAAGATCCAAAGTGAGTTATGGCCAGACATGGTGACATAGGCATTTGGTTTTTGGGTTTTTTTTTTTTTTTTTTTTTTTTTTTGGTGTTGTTTGTTTGTGTTGGTTTTGATTTTTTGAGGCAGGGTTTCTCTATGTAGCTGTGGCTGTCCTAGAACTCACCCTGTAGGTCAGGCTGGAATTGAACTCAGAGTTCCTCCTGCCTCTGCCTCTTGAGTGTGGGGATTAAAGGCTTGTACCACCATTTATTAAGGATGCCAAAACACTTCCAACCACAATATAAGGGCAGTGGCTTGCAGATAACCACTGCTACACCTGCTGGATTTTCTGAGGCTTTACTTAAAAGCCTACCGTTTTTCCTTCCCTTCTAACTATTGAGTATAAGCCAAAACCCTAAAGTCTGCTTCTCAGAACCTACATGGCAGCTAACAAACATGAAACTCTAACACACTCTTCTGCCTCCACAGTAGTACACAGACATGCATATAGGCAAAATTCCTGAACACATGAATTTTTTTTTTTTTTTTTTTTTTTTTAAGAGACAGGGTTTTTCTGTAGCTGGGACCTGTCCTGGAACTCAGTCTGTAGACCATGCTGGCCTTGAACTCACAGAAATCCACCTGTCTCTGCCTCCCAAGCACTGGAACTAAAGACCTGTACCATCACCAACTGACCTATAAATAAATCTTTTAAAATATGTATCTAAAATAAAATGAGAGTAAAGATATTTAGGCCGGGCAGATCTGTGTGAGTTCAAGGTCAGCCTGGTCTGCAGAGCAAGTTCCAGGACAGCCTCCAAAGCAATACAGAGAAACCCTGTCTCAACTCCCCCCCAAAAAAGTAAAGATATTTACCAAAATAGTTTTCTTTAAATACTATTTTTCATTACTTTGTCTAGAATTAATTTTTTAAGATGCTTTCAGGTGTTGGAAAGGGCATACTTGCCATGGTGTGGGCAGAAGTCAGAGGATAACCTGGAGGGTCCCTCCTTCCTCCTTCTACCTTGTCTGTCATGGAGATTGAACTCAGGTAGTCAGGTTTGGTGGCAGGTACCTTTATTCACCCAGTACTGTATTTAACTGTTTTTGAGGTAGCTCTTGCTATATAACCCAGGCAATCCTCCTGCCTCCACTTCCTGAGTGCTGGAATTAGAAGTATGTACCACTATATCTGGCATGTTTTCTTTTTTTTTTTTCTAAAGATTTATTTATTATATATACAGTGTTCTATCTGCATGTTTGCCTGCACACCAGAAGAGGGCACCAGATCTTATTACAGATGGCTGTGAGCCACCATATGGTTGCTGGGAATTGAACTCAGGACCTCTGCAAGAGCAGTCAACACTCTTAACCTCTGAGCCATCTCTCCAACCCCCTGGCATGTTTTCTTTAAATAAAACACCTACCAGTTTTATACTTAACTACATTAGGCCATAGTTATTTAATTTACTTAACTTATATGCAGGAGTTAGCTGATAAGCTGGCAAGAGAATTCAGCAATGATTCATGGAACACATGAAAATAAAAATGTTTATTTACACATTGCAATAAATGCTGCAGCCATGGCAGCAGCAAAAGAACCATCTCAGTTGGGTGGTAGTGGCACAAGTCTTAAATCTCAGCACTTGGGAGGCAGAGGTAAGTAGATCTCTGTGAGTTCAAGGCTAGCCTCGTTTACAAAGCAAGTTCCAGGACAGCCAGTGCTGTTACACAAAGAAACCCTGTCTTGAAAAAACTAAAAACCAAACCAAAACAAAATTGGTTTTTAAAAATATTTCATTGAGCCTGGTGTTGGTGGCACATGCCTTTAATCCCAGCACTCGGGAGGCAGAAGGTGAATCTCTGTGAGTTCAAGGCCAGCCTGGTCTACAGAGCGAGTTCCAGGACAGGCTCCAAAGCAATACAGAGAACCCTGTCTCAAAACACAAAAAAACAAAAGTTTCATCAACAAAAATACACCTTCCATGTGCACATGTTTAGTTTGAGACAGGATCGTGCTTTAGTCCACATTAACCCTGGAATTGTAATCCTCCTGCCTCTGCTGTCCTAATGCTTTGATAACAGGATGGTTCAAATACACAGCATTCATGAAAGGTTAAAACATCTCTACAAAGGACAATCACAAGGCTGGGGCTGTGGCTCAGGGTTAGAATGCTTTCTTGGCATGCTCAAGCCTTTGATTTGGTTTGTTTTTCCCCAACTCGGTAATGAGTGTGCCAGCATTGCAGCATAAGAAAATAAGGATAGGCAGGGGAGAATGCTCAGAGGGTAAAGTGTGGCTGTCCTCTTACAGAAACCTGAGTTCAGATCCAGGCACCAGGGGGAGGTGGCTGGCTTCTATAATCCCAATGCCAGTGGGTGGAGAGGCAGATCCAAGAGGCTCCCTGGCTGGCCAGTCTAGATGAACCTGAGCTCCAGGCTCGGTCAGAGAACTTGTCTGGAAAGGAAAAGTGGATAAAGGCGCTTGCAGCCAAGCCTGACAACCTGAGTTCCACACTCAGGCCCCACATGGTCAAAGTGCAGACCAACTGCTGCAGCTGTCCTGTCTGACTTCCACATGTGCACACCTGAGTCCTACACAGATAAATGTAATATGAAGTTACAATACAACGTAGATGAGCCAAAGAGTCTCACTAAGATTGTTTGTAGAATCCTGAGTAAGACTCCTAAAAAAAGCAGAAAACCAGGGAGTGGTGTGGTGCATGGCTTTGGTCCCAGCACTCGGGAGGCAGAGGCAGGCAGATGTTCGTGAGCTAGAGGCCAGCCTGGTCTACAGAGCGAGTTCCAGACAGCCAAGGCTACACAGAGAAACCCAGTCTCCAAACACCAAAAAACACTACCACAAGTATGTGGAGATAGAGGACGACAACTTGAGGGCAGGAGTCAGTCAGTTTTCCCCTTCTATATGTGGGTCCTGGAGAGGCCTCAGGCCCGCCACAGGTGTGCCCACACACACCATCACAATAACAACATTAAATAGTAATAATAATAGTAAAAGGGTAATATAATAATAGTAAATAGTTAAGAAGTAACAATAAAGGTAGGAGAATAAGGATCAGAATTGAAATTTCTTTCCCATCTTTATTACCATACCATGACAGCTCACAACACTGCTATACACCTTATATACAAATAACAAAGCAAGACAAACAAAAACATATAAAGAAAACAAAAATAAATAAAAGAATAATACTTTTATTTAAAAAAGAAAAAAAAAAGGCAAAACAATTATCAGAGTTGCTTTTGATGTTTTCCTCTGAGTGGAGGACTTGGACAAATCTCCATGTTATTCTGGGCCATTTATGGGAAAATAGTGTCAAGGAGATGAAACAGCCAGGCTTGGTAAGGAGAGCCTTTAACATAGGCACTTAGGCAGACGTGCAGGGGATCTAAATTACAGGCTAGTTATGTAGTGAGTTCCAGGTGAGGAAGGGTAAGGCCCTATCACCAATAAAACAAACAAAAAAGACAAAATTACCATATGAAGGAAATGTTCCAAAGGAAACAAATTCTCACCACTCAAGACTTCCTGAAGGAAGTCTACCTGACAGGCAGCAGTGATCCAGGGCACTCGGGAGATCTTTCTGCCTACCGGGCGAGGACAAATCTCGAAGACCGACAGACCTTCTTCATCACATAAGCCTTTTGGGGTCTATTTTTTCCAGGTGAACCAGAGGTTTGAGCTGCTCCGCAAAATTCCTCATGTCATCAGAGACCATGTCCTGCCCAGCTGGTGCAACAACACTTAATTCTACAAGATAGGAGAGAGACAGGGCCTCTGTGCTGTCTGTGTTCCCTGGGACCAGGATTCGGAAAATCTTGTACACCACAATCTTCATGATGCCCTTCCGGAACAAGTGGCCTTTGGCAACAAACTCATGGTCCATGCGGAAGCCCATTTCCATCAAGAAGTCTGTGAGGTTCTCAGATGTGGCAATGTCCACACAGTTGCGGACCAAGGCGTGACGGTTCTTGTCTCCCATTTCTGGCTGTCCCAAGTAACGCAGGTGCCAGGGTGCCCCTGCCCTGTCCATGGAGCGCCGGGCCCTCAGAACAAACGGACTGGCCTGCTGGCCCTTAAGAAGGAATACCATCTCGTGATCAAGGAAAGTCTCAGGCTCCATGTTGTCACACAAACCACGAAGGCGATGGATGAGACTTTCCAAACTGTGGTCTAAAACACTCCCTGAAGAGGTAAAAAGACAATGAGTCCCGGCTTTCACTAAGAGTCATGAAACTAGCAAAACATAAACACCAATAGATAATAGTTCTATGCATCATTTCATATGCATACTCCATGGGATTCTACTGGTTCTCTCCTTCCACTATGTGGATCTCATAGACTGAACTTAGGCTGGCAGTCGATGGGATGTTTAGGGAAAGGTTATGAGGCATGTCCTTGTAAGAGGAGGTAGGTCACCAGGAGTGGGTTCTGACTTTTCAAAAGCCCAGGACAGCCCCAGCGTCTTTCTCTCTGCCAGTGCATCAGGCTGTAGCTCTCAGCTCTTACTCCAGAACCTGTCTGCTTGCTTCCATGCTCCCCACCATAATGATCATGAACCAAACCTCTGAAACTGTAAGCAAGCCTGCAATAAATGCTTTCTTTTATAAGTGTTGCCTTGGTCATGGTGCCAAGCAATAGAACAGTAACTAAGACATAACTTTACATATTAAGCCGTCTTGTGAGCCCAAAGCCAGTTTTCTTTATTATTATTATTATATATTTTTTTTTTGAGACCAGGCCTGCCTGGTCTATGTAGTGAGTTCTAGGACAGCCAGGACTACACAAAGCAACTCTGTCTTAAAAACCCAAAAATAATCAAATAAACAAACAAATAAATACGAAGATAAAGGACAATTGCTCGAGGACAAAAATTAAATGTTTACACAATAATATTGTAGAGGAGAAAATGTGATGGCTCAGGGGGAAGAGATGCTTGCTGCCAAGCCTGATAACCTCAGTTCAACCCTCAGTACCCACATAATGAAGGGAAAGAACCAACTCCTGCATGTCCCATGACCTCTACTGTGTGTTGTGGCATGCACAAGACCCATTCCAAATAAATAAAATGTAATAGAAAAATTTAATTAAAGAGAGTTTATATAGCTCATCAGGTAAAGATACTCTCTACCAAGGCTGAGCACTTGAGTTCAATTCCCCCCGACCCTCACGGTGGCAGAGAAATTGCTCCCACCAAACATGCAGTAGCACCTGTACAAATGTGTATATATGCACATACACACAAATTCTTAAAATCTATAATAATAAAGGCTTTAGGACAGAGCTAATAAAAACTAAAAAACAAAACAAACATTTTAGAGACTGTTACAAGGCTCAAGTAAAGCTGAGCATGAAGGTGCTGCCTGTGAGCCCAGCACTCAGGAGGCAGATGCAGGAGGATCTTTGTGAGTTTGAGGCCAAGACTGGTCTACATAGGGAGCTGCAGGCCAACCAGGGACATAAAGTGAGACCCTGTCTTCAAAACCAAACCAACAAACAACCAAGCCAACCCCTAAGAGTCAAGTAAGCAGATAGAACACTTGAGATACTCAGTACAGAGATTCAGAAACAGGAACTTAGCAGGACCTGGTAGCCTAAGCCTGAAATTCTAGCTAATGAGTCCAGTGCTATCTGAGACCCTGTTTCCAAACAAAACAAACAGCTGGGCATTGGTGGCACATGTCTTTAATCCTAGCACTCAGGAGGCAGAGGCAGTCGGATCTCTGTGGGTTCAAGGCAAGCCAAGCCTGGTCCACAAGAGCTAGTTCCAGGACAGGCTCCAAAGCCACAGAGAAACCCTGTCTCGAAAATCAAAAAAAAAAAAAAAGTAAATGCTGTCATAATTCTGTCAAGGACATAATGCCAAGTAAAAGAAACCGGTCACAAACCAGTTATTTCACTTCTATGGGGAAACAAAATGGGAAGGTGGTCAGTAAGTGCGGAGCCCACGCAGCCAGAGTACAGAGCTTGGTGGAGGCTGTCGGGATTGAAACACTTAATAGACCGTCACGAGAAGTGAAGAAGAAGCTGCTGCCACCACTGTTTATTACAGAGAGGAATGGGCTTATATACCCAAGCCAGGGGATGGGCTAAGCATAGGAGGAAGTCATGTGCCACCCACAGGCACAGGCACTGCACACTGGAAAGTTATGAGAACAACCTTGTCTGATCAAGCTTGAGAGTACGGGAGTTCTACAACTGGGTGGAGAGGAAGAGAGATGTAAGAGACAAATACTTAAATTTCCCAACAGTTCCTGGAGGTCCCACCCAGATTTGAACTCGGATTGCAAGTGCTAGGCGAGAGGGAGAAAAGTAATGAATGCCAAGCTCTCATTTTTCAAGATGAAAAAAAAAAAAAAAAAAAAAATGAAGCAAGGCAGTGATGGCACCAGCACTCGGGAGGCAGAGGCAGGTGGATCTCTGTGAGTTCGAGGCCAGCCTGGTCTACAGAGCGTGTTCCAGGACAGGCTCCAAAGAAATACAGAGAAACCCTGTCTCAAAAATAAAAATTAAAAAAAAAAAAAGAAAGAAAGAAAGAGAAGAAGAAGAAAGCAATCATTGTGGTGCATATCTGCAAACCCAGGTTCCTTGAGGCCAAACTGGTCTGTGTGTTGAATTTCTGGCCACTGAGTCATCTTCCTACCTACCCCCACCTTCTTTTTTTTTTTTTTTTTCCCCCTCTATATTGCTTTTGAGCCTGTCCTGAAACTAGCTCTGTAGACTAGGATGGACTCAAACTCACAGAAATTCACCTGCCTCTGCCTCCCGAGTGCTGGGACTAAAGCCATGAGCCACCAGAGCCCGACACACACACACACACACACACACACACACACACACACACACACACCTCCTTTTAAACATAGTTACTTATGGGTCGATAGAAACTGTGTGGCTGACTTTGTTGACTTTATCTCTACTTACTCTGACCAGAAAAAAAAAGAAAGAAAGGACGGGAGGGAGGGTGAAGGGAGGAAGGAAGGGAGGGGGAGAAGGAGGACAGGAAAGGAGGATGGGAGGGAGGAAGGGGCAGAGCAGGCTCCCAGGCTCACTCACCCTGCAGGAGGTACTCCATCATGTTAATGGTGCCCCCAGTGACTGGCATCATGGTGACGGGAGGGGCCTCCATAGCGACAGAACTGGAAACAGATCGTCCAATCAGGTAAGCACAGTATACACCTGGAAGAGTCACACTTGTTCGTACACGGGAGAGGTTAGTAGTGTGGCACAGCCGATTTGCTGTGGCACCAGTATTGAAATCAAGACTCATTCATTCAGAACTCTGAACATCTGTTTATACAGCCTAGCGTCATGAACGAGTCCTGGCCAGAGACACGGCATAACCATCTATAAATCTCACATTCTGGAGTCCTGGCCAGAGACACGGCATAACCATCTATAACCTCACATTCTGGAGTCCTGGTCAGAGACAGGGCATAACCATCTATAAATCTCACATTCTGGAGTCCTGGCCAGAGACAGGGCATAACCATCTATAAATCTCACATTCTGGAGTCCTGGTCAGAGACAAGGCATAACCATGTATAACCTCACATTCTGGAGTCCTGGCCAGAGACACGGCATAACCATCTATAACCTCACATTCTGGAGTCCTGGTCAGAGACAGGGCATAACCATCTATAATTTCACATTCTGAACCCTCTAAGTTTCCTGTGTAATCTTGAGGCAGCAGAGCAACCTCTTGTTCTGGAACTTACTTTTTAAGTAAAACCACGCGCATTTAACTACCCAGCCCCACTCCCCAGCTACGTGGCTCAAACGAAACAACCGACATATAACTAAATTCAAAAAAGGTAAAATCACCTTGTGCTACACAGAGGCCCCGTTTCCAAACTTAAATAAAAGCTGGCCGTGTTGGGGCACATCTGTAATCTTAACACTAGGGAGCAGAGTTAGGAAGACTGCGAAAGCACAGCCAACCAGGGAATCGCAATGAGACCCGTCTCAAAGAAACCTAAACAAAAGATCCGAAAGCAACCTAAGGACCCTTCATCCTCTGGCGGACGCCATGGAGACTCAGGGAGAGGCGCCAGGGTACACGTAGGGGTCCGACTAGAACAGGGTTCGGCCTTTCTGAAAATCTCTTTTCAAACCAGCCAGGCGGGAAGAGTGATTAAAGTGACTGCACCGGTCCTCCCATGCCGGGATCCGGGGCACGTGTGCACTTACACTAGCAACACGCCTCCGTGCACGCTGCAGCTCCTCGCGAAGCTGGAATTAAACCCACGCGTGCACACTCAAAATCCGCATCCCCCAAATGCCAAAATCCCGGAAGCAAAGATCCAGTCAAACCGCCGAACAGAATGCCTTCCACACTTCCGGCAGGAAGCTGATGGACAGGAAATCTAGCTACTGAAGCACCGAGAAGTAAGGGTGCCGAGAGGGCAAGGAAGGCGCCTGGCTCCTGGCACCGGCGGACAAGAGCGCATGTGCAAAGTGCAATGCTGCGTTGCGGTGGGCTCCTGTTCTAGAGTGGCGCACTGGGAGATAACTGCAGGGCTTTACGTCATAGTGCAGCTCTAGGATAAGTTGGTATTCTGCCCCCCAGCTTCGACGCGCTGGACGTCTTGATCAGATCTCTCGAAACTGATTGGATACTATATTTAAATTTTGAACTCAGCCACTGGGGGGAGCGAGGAGGGAAAGAGTCGCATTGGAAAAGGGAAGTATGTTATAAATCCGACACGCTCTATGAGTTATCTGAAGGTGATGAAGGTATGATGCGCTCCCCAACTAAGCATGGCGTTGTGCCTTTATGGACATCAGTACTAACAGTTAATATTTTGTGTTTTCAGCCGGGCGGTGGTGGCACACGCCTTTTATCCCAGCACTAGGGAGGCAGAGGGATCTCTATGAGTTCGAGGTCAGTTTGGTCAACAGAGTTCCAGGACAGGCTCCAAAGCAATACAGAGAAAAAAACAAAAAACGATACATACATACATACATACATACATATATATTCAACAGTCTAAAGAAATAGCTCAGTGCTAGAGACCCCTGGCCTGTGCAAGGCCATACATATATTTAATACATAGCAACCTTGTTTAATTTCCTGTACATACCTCAACTTTAAATACAGGGAACCAGGCACAGTCTGAATCTGAGAACCTCAGAAGGATTCGATAAGGAACTCTCCAGCAGAACTGTTCAAGACTTGAACAACATCGTGAGACTTTTTAAAAATAACTAATTAGGGGATGGAGAGGTGGCTCCACAGTTAGGAGCACTTGCTCTTGTAGAGTTCCCCAACATGGTGTTTGTAATCTGCTTTCTCCCTTCCAGGGAACCCATTGCCTCTGCCCTCTTCAGACGCACAACTGGTGCACAAACATGCATGCAGGCAAAGCACTCACAGCACAAAATATAAATAAACTAAGTTAAATAAATAGGGGTTGGGCAGGTAGCTAAGCAGTGGGGAGCACTTGCTGCTCTTGATTGAGGAGGACCTGGGTTCAGTCCCCAACACTTACATCAGGTGACTCACAACCCTGTAGTTTCAAAGGACCTGACACTCTCATCTGGCTTCTATGGAACCTGTACAGGACATGCACGGTACACGTAAATACATCCAAGCACACATATACGTTAAGTAAATAAATGTCAATTTTAAATTCAACAGGTACTTGTTGAACTCTGTACATCTGCCAAACACATAAGGACAGGGTAGGATGAACCACCCTTAATCCACCAGAAAGCCTCCTTAACATTCCCCCAGGGGTCAACTGTGTCTGGCAAGGGCACCTGATTCCAACCAACCCTGCTGTCATATAAAATCCCTTGTTTTTCTGCCACCTTGCTCTTCTTTCTGCCCCTCTCCCCCAGTCTTGACTGTTTGATTGCCAATAAATCTCTCTACTCATGGGGTGACCAAGTTTATCTGTATCATTGCTTATAACATTCACTTGGAATACAAAATTTAGGATAACATCAAGAAATGGATTATCTGTCAGGTGGTGGTGGTGGTGGCACACGCCTTTAATTTCAGCACTCTGGAGGCAGAGGCAGGTAGATCTCTAAATTCAACACCAGCCTGGTCTACAGAGCGAGAACAGAGAGAGAACAGCCAAAACTACACAGAGAAACCCTGTCACGAAGAAAGAGAGGAGCAAAGTTCCAGCTGTTGAACTTTAGGGGCAGATTCCTGGGGCCTGCTGGGAACAGGACTTCTAAAAGGCAAATGTGTCTGGAAGGCTGTGGTGCAGGGCCATGTTTGCTGGATATAAGCGAGGTCTCCGGAACCAGCGAGAGCAAGCACACAGCTCTTCTTAAAATTGAAGGTGTTTATGCCCCAGGTGAAACTGGATTCTACTTGGGCAAGAGATGTGCTTATGTGTATAAAGCAAAAACAACACGGAGACAATAGGCAAACCAAACAAAACCAGAGAGATCTGGGGAAAAGTAACTTTGGGCCCATGGAAACAGTTCCATGGTTAACACCAAATTCTGAAGCAACCTTCCTGCAAAGGCCATTGGACACAGAATCCATGTGATGCTGTACCCTTCCAGGATTTAATGAAAAGTAAACCACTGAAAGTGAAAAAAAAAGAAAAAAGAGAGAAAGACGATAGCTTAATGGTACAGGACTTCATGTCTAAGGCCCTAAGTTTGATCTTCAGCACTGTAAATAATGCTAATTGTTGATGGGAGATGTCATTCTGTATATGTTTCTCATACTGGTTAATAAATAAAGCACTGTTGCCCAATAGGAAAGGAAGATAGGAGGGATTAGGAGACAAGGAGGAAATAGGAAGTAGGGAGGAGGAGTCAGCATGGAGAGACCGGGGAGACCAGATGCCTGCCTCACTCCCTGGTAAGGAGACCACGTGGAAATACATAGAAATGGGTTAATACTTAAGACAGAGCTAGCCTATAAGAAACAAATAATGGGCCAACAGGATTATATCAAATACAGAGTCTCTGTGCATTATTTGGGGCTGGCGCGGTGGCAGGACAAGACCAGCGGTGGCGGGCAGAAAAAACCATACTCCTTACAAATTGTTATAGAATATTAATTAAAAATAAGTCACATTTTTTATGCTGTGAAACATTTGTTTAATGATGCAAAGATGTGTTGCATCATTTTATGTTGCATTTGTTCAACTCTGTGAAGCCTGTCTGAAACACCTGATGATCTAATAGTGAGACAGGAGAAAGGATGGGTAGGGCTGGCAGGCAGAGAGGATAAATAGGAGAAATCTGGCTAAGAGAAGATGGAGGAGCAAAGAAGAAGAGGGCATCAGGGGCAAGCCACCCAGCTTATACAGCCATGAAGTAAGAAGTAAAGAAAGGTATATAGAAGAGAGAAAGGCAAAACCCACGACAAAGGGTAGACAGGATAATTTATGAAAAGCTGGCTAGCTGGGAGGTGGTAGCACACGAGTTTAGTCCCAGCACTCGGTAGGCAGAGGCAGGCAGATTTCTGTGAGCTCAGGGTCAGCTTGGTCTACTGAGTTCCAGGACAGCTTCCAAAACTACAGAGAAACCCTGTCTCAAAAAAAGAAAAAAAAAAAAAAAAAGAAAGAAAGAAAGAAAGAAAGAAAGAAAGAAAAGAAAAAAGAAGAAAAAGAAGAAGAAAGAAAGGAAAGCTGGCTAGAAACAAGCCAACCTAAGGCTGGGTGTTTGTAAGTAATGATAAGACTCCATGTGATTATTTGGGAGCTGGCAACATTTTAAAAGATTAATGAAAATAATTGTGAGACAGTGGCTTACATTGTAACCCAAGCTTTCCTGGAACTCTGTGCTAGAATGAGAGGTGTGAACCTCCACCCTATTCATCTAACTGCTGACTCTGTTATTTTACCATTGGGAAAGCTCAGGCAACAGATGTTAAATAACACGGGAGGGACAGGTGTGGTAGTTCATGGGGCTACCTAGTAAGTTCCAAGCCAGCCAGTGCTACATAGAGAGACCCTGTCTCAAAATACACACACACACACACACACACACACACACACACACACACACACACACACTGGGTGGAGAGGGAAGCAAGATCAAGAGAGAGCTATGAAGCTACATGCAACAGTACGGATTAGACAAGCAAGATAGCTCCGCCGCTGGTGCATTGACAAGTCTAATAGGAAATAACTCACTGATAATCCTTTTTTGGTTGGACTTGAGACCTGTGCCACAGGAGGGGTTCAATTTCTGGTAGTGTAAACCCAGTCAAAAGCCTATGGCTTGTGGCATCAGAGCCCCTAGTGGAAGAAGGCAGTGCCGTTGCTTCACAGAAGGGACACATTGTGCCAGTCAAGCTGCCTTCTCAATGATTTTGTTTGCACACGAAGGTCAGTACTGCTCTCAGCTTGCTTTCAGAGAAGCTCCATTTTGCAATGGGCAGTGGCTCCTGGGAGACTGATCATAAGTGTGTGCTCAGCCACAAGTGAGACATCCTTAGCACTCCCAGGTTCAGAAAGCACCACAGAAGAGGAGAGAAGGATGTAAGAAGCTGAGGAAGGGATGGTGGTGCTGATGTCAATGCTGACTTCCGGGCGGGATGTGGCCATGGCCCTTTTGTGCCCACTATACTAGATCTGTTTCAGATTGGGCCCATCCTGTCAGAGAGAAGGGCAGGTTCAGGAGGCCCCGCCTTTCCCTGAGGGGCAGGCAATTAATGTTTAATAGGGCAAGGAGAGGAATTTTTCTTTGGTGCCACAAGCTACCGATAAAGGGCTCATGCTCCTATTCCGAAGCCTAGTAAAGCTTGCTTCATATTGGGAAAGACAATATGAAAGTAGAAATGTCAGATTGTTGGGAAGGGATGGGGGATCAGTGAGATTAGTGGTGTGGCATATGTATGATCAGGACCCAAATACATTATTTACACATATGAAAATGTCATATGGAACCCATTATTATGTATAATTAATATGTGCTAATTAAAAAACAAAACAATAAAAGACTGGCAAGATGTCATAGTGGGCAAAATCTGCTGCTAAGCCTGCTAATTCAAGTTGGCTGTCAGAGACCTAAATGGTAGAATAAGAGACTCCCAAAAATTGTCTTCTAGCCTCTACTTGTATGCCATGGCACATATGTGTCCCCACACAAAAATAAAAAACTGTAATTTAAAATGCATAGTAAGTGGGCATCGTGATACATGCCTTTAATTCCAGCACTCAGGAGGCAAAGGCTAAGTATAAGATTCTGCCCCCGCCAAAAAAAGCTGTAATAAAATGATGGTTGTAGGTCAATTGATACAATGCTTGCCTTGCATATATGAAGTCCTGGGTTGAATCCAGCATGATGCACACCTATAATCCCAGGACCCAGGAGGTGG